GGGTGGGTGGTAGATGGAGTTGGACGGGGGTGGGGGGTACCAGGCTCCGAGTCGGAATCAAATTCAAGGGGTAGTGACCTATAATAAAGTGGGGAATGAGAGGGTGTGGGGTACTTGCATGGTATCTGCTTGTGAGTTCGCAAGGGTGGGTGGGGGTCAGGTGTACAATTGACCGGTGCTTTCAGGGCTCACTCAATACAACTCTACGCCCGCCCGGCGACTCGATGACGATTCCTGGTCAAAAGGGGGGTGGGGGTCATAGGGGTGTACAGCTCTTCTAGCCTGCTCTGGACCTCGCGGGAGTGAGGGGGGTAGGGGGGTACATGGGATCATCGATCGCCTCGGAAGTTTCGGGGGGGTTGGTAAAAAGGTGGGGTAGTCCATGTTCCAGGGTAAGGTGGGTCATCAGAGACAGAGATTACGTACTGTCACCGTACCGGTGGTCATGACGCAGTGCTCACCACCGGGTGATCTGCGGCGACACCCCAGGGGTACATAGTTTGCTGACAGGTTCAACGTTCCAGAGGGGTACTAAACTCAGGAAATGTGGGAGGTAGGGGTTCCTGGTACGTATCAGGAAGCGATCGAAGGAGGAGGGTGGGGGCCAAGTAAAAATGGGTACTTGAGCTGGGTGGGTAGGGTCCTGCCGTGGCTCTTGGGTCGAAGGGTAGGGTACTTAGATATGAGCCATGGGGGTGCAGATAGTCCCCGGGTAGGGTTATAGCCCGCAAGTGCAGTCGCAACGTTCTAGCAGTTTACTCAAGGGTGGGTAGTTTGGAAAGAAGGGGTCATGAGAGGAGGTAGTTCCATCATACCGGTATTTTCAAGCCAAATTTCAGGGGTGCGTGATGAAGCTAATACGGTCATCAACAACGGGGTGCAAATACGTGGGGTGGGTGGACAAACATGGTTTGGATAGGTTTTGCTGCCGATGGTGGAGCAGTAGAGGGATGTTGATGATGATTGCGAGAAGGAAGACAAGAAGAAAGAAGAGGAAGAAGATGAAACGGAACAAGAGGAGGGGAGGGAGGAAGGACATCATAGAGGAAGAACTGAAACGGACTAGAACGCAGGAACGAGTGTTCTGGATTTCGAGAGAAATGTTTTCGATTCGGAGGCTATAAGCGTTCATTCAACAGCAAAGTAATGCAGACTGTGGAGCTATGCAAGCAGTTTTCAAAGAGCTACAACACAACGACACATACGTATCGTTGTGCTACTCGTCAAGGGTAGTTCGGAATTAATTGTGAGATCTTACAGCGGGATATATAGCCCCCCAGAGATCTTATAGCGGGATGTATAGCCCCATGATTAGTCAGGACTGCCTATCCTCACAACTACCACCTCCTGCATCGCACCAGTCGAATCATCAACATGTCTTGTCCTGTTTCCGTTGACCCGTTTCTTGGCAGGCTCCCCTTTGCACTTGAACCTTTCCGCCATGGAAGCTCCTGCCCCGCAGTCCCCGATGACACGGTGATGCCTTGCACTGGCCCTGCTGTCGTAGTTTGATGATCCACACAGGATAGAAGTGCTCTCCGAGACCTTCCTGATCAATCAAGACCTTCAAACTGACGAGTTTCCCTCCGACTCGACAAACTCAACCAACAGCTCCGCTACGGTCACATCCAGCCTGTCTTTCACCGTCCACGTGGAGGCCGACCTCACCAACAACGAAGGGGCCGATGAGCAGCAGAACTCGACGGTGAGTGCGGTGAGGAACACCTGCGCTCTGACGTGTTTGTGTGCACAGACCGAGGCATCGAGAGATCCAGGGGCGATCACAAGGTGAGGAGTGAAACTGCCATCATGGTCGTTAGGCTGATTTTAGACCTCAGAGAGAAAGCTTGCCTGTTTCTGAATCAGATCTCTCGTCTTCTGAACAAGAGGGAGGCAACTCCTATGGACCTGTGCAGCATGCTCGACAGGAGCAATCATTCGCTGGTCTGGACCCTGACCTTCCTTCTGCAACTGATCCTGATGGTTGTCTTCAGTCGGGGAGGAGAAACAGCAGCGACTCCTCCGGACTGCCTGAGTGCATGATCTGCCTGGAGAACATGCAGGTCGGTCAGTCAGTGACTACGCTCCCTTGCAAGCACTTCTTCCATCATGTCTGCATTGTCAAGTAAGAGACGGTTGTTGAGAACGATGCTGTGGGTTCTGACAGTGTGCAGGTGGCTGTCGTCGAGGTTGCTCATCTCAAAGCCAGGATGTTGTCCTAATTGCAACCTCCAGGTTTGTTGCCATCGAATTGTGAACATTTTATTTCCCCCTCTCCCTGCTCCCATTCGTCTCGTCTCGTCTCGTCTCGTCTCGTCTCGTCTCGTCTCGTCTCGTTTTGTCTTGTCTTGTCTCGTCTCGTTTCCTCTTCCCTTATCGCTGCCACCCTCAATGCTCTTTCGTCTCTTGCCTTGTTTCGTCGCATTGCAATCTTTCTGTTCATTTATTGTTGGTCTTCAGATCGTCCTTCCAGTCCCTCAGTCCGAACTTCCCACTGTTGTGGTGCAATCGACCGCGCCGCAGGTGACCTTGACGATTGATAATCAACCTTGCTCATGACTACTACGATGATCTGCAGACGATGCTGCAGAAGATTTGCTGGATATGGAGACGAAGGCAAGTTTGCTTGCTCTTGACATCTCCAATGCATGCACTCGTTGTGTGACACAACTTTTTCTTCTTCTCCTTGAGCAGATCATTCGGATTCATCATGGGCTTCTCTGTCCTGGTTCTCATCCTAACCAACGTCATCTTGGTCTGCATTCCTCGCCGCTGATATTCTTTCATTCCCACCTCCCTCTCTACCTTTTCCCAAGAGTCTGTATTATATCCGTCTACATGGTTCCATCCTCCCTCGCCTCCTACCGTCCTGCTCCCGTCCTCCGACCCTCCTTAGTCGTTCCTCTTGAACGTGTCCTTGGCAAACACAACGTCCCACCAGCCCTCCAGCGCTTGTCGAGCCTGCGCGAGGAAGCAACACCGGTCAGGAGCCCATGGCAAACCGGGACAAGGGGGGGGATGCTGGGGGATCACCTGGTCCTTCCTGACCCTCTTGGCAAGTTGTTCCGCCTTTTCCACACGCTCAGCTGGCGCAGAGTGAGGAGGAGTAGGAGCAGGTCAAAGTTGACTCACCCTGTATCTCTGCTTCAGTGCGGAGGGCGTTGGATATGATCTTGATTGACCACTCGTCGACCCCGAGCCTCGTGGTCTGTTGGGCTGGACTGTCAGGGATGGTTGGGGAGGCGCAAGTTGGTTACCAGCATGTCGGGAAGCGACTTGTTCTGATGGCAGTTGCGGAGAGTCCTGAGCTGTATCTTTTCTTTCTTCTGCAGGAGGACAGGTGAGACGATTGAGGAGAAGAACAAGAAGGAGAGGGAGGAGGAGGGCGAAAACAAAGGGGAGAATGTGGAGGAAGAAGGAAGAAGATGGAAGGAGAAGTGAGGAATCAGATAGTGAAATTGCGGGTAGGGGCAGGAGGAGGAGAGGAGAGGAGAGGAGAGGAGGAGGATAAGTTGTAGGAGGAGGGGCAGGAGGAGGAGGGAAGAGGAAGGAGGAAGAGCTT